TTGAAACCTTGACCGTCTTGAGACTGTCCTTCTGCACAAACGTTGAAATCCCACACTTGTTTTGTGATCTCCCTGAAGTCCTGAAACTCACCTGTTCTGACCCCCTCGTCAATAACATGGTGGTATATTTTGTGACTATTGTCCTAGCTGTTTTCCCTCTCTCTGGAATCCTCTTTTCTTATGCTCAGATTTTGTCCTCCATCCTGAGGATTTCCTCCGCTGGCGGCAAGTACAAAGCTTTCTCCACCTGTGGGTCTCACCTGTCAGTGGTCTCCTTGTTCTATGGCACAGGCCTGGGGGTCTACCTCAGTTCCGCAGCCACTTCATCCTCTAGGACAAGTTTGGTGGCCTCAGTGATGTACACCATGGTCACCCCCATGCTGAACCCCTTCATCTACAGTCTTCGGAACAGGGACATGAAGAGGGCCCTGGGGGAACTCCTTACCAGGGTGGTAACTGTCAGGAATAAAGCAGTTACAGGACCCCCGGTGAGTAGCTGAGCACATAATACTGAAGACCAGAAGTGCTGGCTTCTTTTATCCGATATTTTTCATTTTCTTTTCTTTTTTTAATATGTTTAATTGATTTTTTAGAGAAAGAGGAAGGGAAAGGGATAGAGAAATAAAAACATGGATGAGAAAGAAACATCCATCAGCTGCCTCCTGCATGGCCCCTACTGAGGATTGAGCCCAAAATCCAGGCATTGTGCCCTGACCGGGAATTGAACCAGCGACCTCTTGGTTCCTGGCTCCACGCTCATCCACTGAGCACACATGCCAGGCCATTTTCTTTTTCTTTTTTTTAAAAAAAATATATTTCTTTATTAGTTTCAGAGAGGAAAGGAGAAGGAGAGAGAGATGGAAACATCAATGATGAGAGAGAATCATTGATCGGCTGCCTCCTGTACGTCCCCTACTGGGGATCAAACCCGCAACCCAGGCATGTGCCATTGACCGGATTCGAACCCGGGACCCCTCAGTCCACAGGCTGACGTTCTATCCACTGAGCCAGGTCTGCTAGGGCCAGGCCATTTTCTTAAGTTTATATGTTTTAAAGCAAAACTTCCCTTGGGTCTTCTTTGTTCTCTCACCATTTTTTCTTCAGGTCATATCTTGGATTCTCTTTTTCACTTTACAACTAGTCATTTTAACTTTATATAAATAAAGCCTGGTGCTTTCTCAGTTATCTTAAGTAATGGTTTGGATTTTTTTAAAATATTAAGTCTCCTACTGTATCTCCTATGTGGAGACTCCGTGCCCTGCTTTGGTCACAGGGGTTCAGGATGATGGAGGTGGAGACAGAGCTTGGCTTGTTCCCAGGGCGCTGCCTGCTGAGCCAGAATCACTCCTAGGGCAGCTGCATCAACCTCCACATGTGATGTCTAGGTTCCCTTGGTTCCCAGGTAACTCGTTAAGAAAGCCTGATTTCAATACACGTATCATGTGCCTATACGTCTCTTTGTAGCCTACCATCTAGATTTCCAAATGTGAGATGTAAGATGACATTTTTTAAAATTTGTCAACTTTTAAGATTATCTTTCTTGAAAGATTGAAGGAGGCAATGATAAACCTTTTTCCTCTGACATTGCTTTGATAAGAATTTGTCAATGTTATTAGAGTTAAATTGGAATTGATGTCAACTAACCAATAAGACAAAATAGATCTCTCAAAAAATGTCTCAGGCTTTTAAAATGTATCCTCAGAAGTAATGTGATGTGTACCTAATTTGGAACCCTGCAAACTCATTTACAGAGATGATTTCTGAGGTTATGTGAAATTCAGTCAAGTTGCAGAATATGAAATCAATATGTAAAAATCCATTGATCATATGAACGTGCAAAGAGAAGAGAGCCATCTACCAGCTACAGAGAGAAGCCTCAACAGAAACCAGTCCTGCTGACAACTTGATCTCAGACTGCCAGCCTCCAAAAGTATAAGAAAATTAATGTCTGTTATTTAAGCCTTCCAGTCTGTGGGACTTTGTCATGCAGCCCTGGCAAAGTAATATACCCTGCTCCTACAAGGGGCACACTGGAAACACAGACCACTGACCATGGGGTGGTGTGAGGCCAGAGGCTGAATTTCTGGTTTGAGACTGGGATCCCAGGCAAAGTTCCCCAGGGTCAAATGTGGAGTAGGATGTTTTACAGTGTAAACCTCAAGAAGGACTATATCTGGCAAGAAGGTCTCCTTGTGGTTAACTGGGCACAAATTCATAACCAGAGTCTAGCACCCATTGCTGACAGAGGCCTCCCCTGCACTGTGCGTTTCAGGGAAAAGCCACAGGCTGAGCTGCCAGCCTTCTGCACTGTGTTCTTGCCATCTGAGTCTACCCTTATAAGGGAGTTCCTGGTATCATCTTCCAATCCGTGGGCTGAAATCTGCCTTATCTTGCAACCACACAGTAACATCTTCATTTGCATCTACACTGACCGATCAGAGCAGCTCCATGATGATCAATCAGAACACACAATGCTGACCAATCAGGATAGTGCTCTTTGGACCAATCAAACTGTGCCCACTTGATTCCTCATTCACCTAAAAATGGACCAATCAGAAACCAGGGCAGGAACTTTCTCTGTAAAAGGCAGACTCCCTTTGCCTCAGCAGACACACTTTCAATTTCCAACAGAGGCTGCATTTCCCCTAGTTGCAAACTGTTCACCTAACTAAAGTCTCTCTTTTCCACACCTCAGATTGGGGACTTTTGTCAACAATAAGCAGAAGAGGCTCTTGCCTTTGCATGAATTATTTCTTGTCTCTGACCATAAATGTCTCCATGGTGACTACAAATAGATCAAAGAATTCTAGAATTCTCTTCCAAGTTCTCTCAATTATTTAAGTCCAATGGATCTCTTAGGATCCCAAAAGTTGGGGTGGGGGCATTCCAAAACATACCTGTGCTTGAATATCCCTTGGAAAGGACAGATGCTCAAGGTGAAGCTTAATTTAACTTAGAAAAAAAATTAATGTCAAGTTTCCTAGACAAAAGGGCCATGGAGTTGAGTTACCTGATAGATAGAATCATTTTACTCTTTGTTTACTTCACAAGTGTTTTCTCCAAACCTTTATTAAGGTCCCATTTAATGTCCCACCTGGTTTACTAGACTGCAGGAAAATAATGCTAAGAGGCCAATGAGCACCCTTGTGTAGTTAGGAGACACAGAGCCCCCTGAGGCTAGCATGGGGGTGGGGTGTCTAGGCCAATTGCTCTCAGGAATCAAGAGTTGGGGCTACTCATCCCCATTGGAAGCTACTTCCTCTATTCTCAACTGTGGAGGGTATAAAATAAAAGGTTAAGTCAGATGGCTAGGGGTGCTCAAAGCCTGCACATCCCAAAGAAAAGATTGTATCTTTATTGGTTCCTGGGAGGTGACCTTTGAGCCCTTGGGATATCTTGCCTGATAAAAGTGTCTTTGGCCTGGCTGGTGTGGCTCAGTGGTTGAGCATTGACCAGAAGGTCATGGTTTTGATTCCTTGTCAGGGCACATGTCTGAATTGCTCGATCCCCAGTAGAGGGCATGCAGAAAGCAGCTGATGCATGATTCTCTCTCATCATTGATGTTTCTCTCTCTCTCTCTCTCTCTCTCTCTCTCTCTCTCTCTCTTTCTCTCTCTCTTTCTCTCTCTCTCCCTTCCTCTCTGAAATCAGTAAAAAACATTTTTTAACAATTACATTATTTTTAAATCATGGGAAAATGTATTTATTTATTTATTTATTTATCTTAATCCTTACATGAGGATATTTTTCCATTGATTTTTAGAACAAGTGGAAGAGAGAGGGAAAGACAGAGAAATATTGATGTGAGAGAAACTCATAGATTGGTTGCCTCCTGCACATGTCCCAACCAGGGCTTGGGCTGGGGAGGAGCCTGCAACCAAGGTACATGCCCTTGACCAGAATCGAACCCAGGACCCTTCAGTCAGCAGGCTGACGCTCTCTCCACTGAGCCAAACTGACTAGGGTAAAAAAATTTTTTTCATTTTTTTAAGTGTCTTTGTATGCCTGGAGTCTTGAGCTATACCAGGTAGTCTATGCTGACAGTGTAATTTATAGCAAATGCCTATTTTTGTTCACTGGGCAATGCTGTATTAGTTTGACCTCTGGGGGAACTGAAGAATGAGTAACTAAGGTCAGCAGGCACTCCACACCTACACAACAAACTCCCAATAAAAACCCTGAACACCAAGGGTCAGGTGAGATTCCCTACCTGGCAATACTTTATGTGTTGTCATGCACTGATGGTGGCAGAAAAAGTGCCAGCCATGCAATTCCACTAAGAAGGGACAACTGGAAGCTCACATCTGATGTCCCCTGGACCTTGTCCCATGTGCTTCTTGCCTTTGCTGATTTGAATCTGTGTCCTTTCACTGCAATAAACCAGAAATCTGTGAGTGTGCCAGTGTGGGGGCAGAGGCAGCCCCTCACCTCCTAGGTCCTGTGCCCTATCCTGTCTCTCTCTGGGGCTGTCATTTCTCTCTCAGTGGTTGAGGAGAAAGAGGTGGGGAGGTTTTCTCAGCCTTGCAGATAAGGATGGCATTTACCAGCCAGAGCCCTGGGAGTCAATGCCGTCTATTTCTTGTTCTGGGACCAAAGTAAAAATTAAAGCACATCCCTGTGCAGTTATGGGAGGCCCCCTGCCCCCTGCCTTCTCAGAGCAGGGAGGTACCTTTCCAAATGCCCCAAACTTTGTTTACATGGGTGGGGAGATGAAGTGAGGGAGTAAAATGGGGTGGGGGGGAGCGGGTTAGGAACTGGGCCCTGGAAACCAAAGTGGGGACTTCCTAGGGTACAGGTGCTCCCTCTGCTCTCTGAGCTGGAATTAAGAAGGGTTATTGCCCCAGCCATTGCCAATGGGAGGTGGCAGGGAGGGGTTCAGTCTCTTCATTGTCTAAATGAGGCCTAAACGGTGTGAAGTGCGACTTCTGCTTTTGTGTACCCCACTCAGCTTTGCTGAGTTTTGTAAGTCCTTTTAACCAATCATGGAACCTGAAAGTGGTCTTGAGAACCTCCCAACACAGAGGCCATGGATATTGTTTTATTATAAGAAATAGTGGTTTCCCTTTGCCTCCTTCAATTACACTGCTCCTTAAGAAAATAAGGAGCACGAGATGACCCCTCACCTTGTTGAACCTGGAGCTTCCTATACCCACAACCCCAGGAAAAACATTTCCGATTTCCACCCTTGCCCAACCTCCCTCAAGTTCTCAGTATAGGCTCAGAGAGAAATGAAGACTGTGGACATCCTTTCATTCCTGCTCCTTTATCTTAGTTTCCCTCAAACACGTCGGACAGAATATGTGTTCAGGGTGTGGGTCATTCAGGCAGTGGGTTTTTCCCAAGACATCCCTCACATGGCACTCTCATTGCCACCCCGTCCCCTGGATGCCCCCTTCTCTTGTGCCATGAGTGACTTGTAGGGCTTCCCCAGGCTGGGGAGGGTGAGCTCAGCTTCCTGCAGATCTAGCTCCCGCTGAGACAAATGCTCAATGACGGCTGCTCCAATGGCGTCCCCCAGCACGTTGGTCATTGTGCGAAGTCGATCTCTGGGGAAGGGAGAGGAGAGAACGTTAACCATTAACTTCCATTAACCAAGGCCGGAAGAGCACCCGAGGGGAGATGATACAGCAGAGGGGGTTCCCTAAGTCTGAGAGTTGGGGGGTTCACATTCCAATCTAATTCCAGACCAAGCAGGTCTCCTCCCCTCTCTGTCCTCGGTTCCCCTCCTAACAGAAAGAGAATGGAGGAGAATGAGTAAGCTCTGATATGCTCACATTTGATCTCAGCAACACAAATTTTTTAAGGATGTAAACATTCAATAGAAAATTAGGAGTTGTGAGCTGAACAGCATACAGAATGGGGAAGTCCAGACTTATTTTATGTAACCCTCCTATTTTTAAAGTTGAGACTTTTAAAAATAAATTTGCACTAAAACCGGTTTGGCTCAGTGGATAGAGCGTCGGCCTGCAAACTGAAAGGTCCCAGGTTCGATTCTGGTCAAGGGCATGTACCTGGGTTGCAGGCACATCCCCAGTAAGAGATGTGCAGGAGGCAGCTGATGGATGTTTCTCTCTCATCGATGTTTCTAGCTCTCTATCTCTCTCCCTTCCTCTCTGTAAAAAATCAATAAAATATATTTTTAAATATATATATATATATATATATATACACATTCCAGCTCTGTCCCACAGATCACCTTTTGTGACTTCTACATAAAACGGGTAAAAGGGGGGCCTTTCTGGTTGATGGGTAAAACCTCCATCACTTATCTCCTTTTTGCCCTACTTCCCAAGGTTAATTCTATGGACTTTGAGATCCACAGGCCATGGTTAGGAGTATTCCCAAGGCCCCCTTTCACTCTAAAATTCTAGAACTCTGTGTCCTTGCTAGAATGAGGACCCACAGGTTGGGGGATCCTGAATGGAAAGCAAGGGTTCGAGGAGAGATAGCAGCAGGGTCTGAAGGACACTCACAGGAACCAGTCCACAGCTATGATCAGCGTGATGTCTTCAGTGGGCAGGCCGACTGATGTGAGCACAATGACCATGGTGACCAGACCTGCCTGGGGAATGCCAGCAGCCCCAACGCTGGCCGCTGTCGCAGTGATACTGCAAATGGAGAGAGAACACAGGGAAGCAGGAAACGAAAAGGGAGAGATGAGAAAGATAGTGAGAAAGAGTATGCAGAAGGAAAGAAGTGAGTTCCCCAGGGCATCTTAAATTAAAGTCCCCCAAATAAAAGGCAAATCCAGTGTGACTCATGGAGTGCCAGTACAGATGGGTCTTCTCATCCTTTCCCGGGATCTGTTTGGAAGTCCTTCTAAGATGGACTTTTGAACATTTAGACAACTCATATTGTAGGTGCAAGAGTAGGTTTTTAACTGAACTGCCTTGTGGGCTGGAAGAGGGCAGAAGAATCACCCCAGGCAGCAGCCATGAACCAGGAGATTGAGTTCCCTGTATGCACATATATTGGAAATAGGTAGGTTGGTACAGCTGCCAGGAATGGAACTCTGGAAGAGGGGCCAAGTTTAGAACCAAACGAAGAAATTGTCTATGATGCTGAGCCAGGAATGGAACTCTGGAAGAGGGGCCAAGTTGAGAACCAAATGAAGAAAGTGTCTATGATGCTGAGCAAGTAAAAAATAATTACATATGGTTTTGAAAAACTAAAAGGTAGAACCCATGGAAAATAAAAGAGATAGTGGCCCAACGTCAGGTACAAATCTGACTGGATCAAGAGTAAGCTAGATTTTAGCTCCTACATCAACTCTGATTGCCTGGTATGGGGTGCTAAGAAGAATTCTAAAGCCACTGAGCTTGCCAGGAAAGGCTTTAGTGCCCTGAAGTTACACCCCTCTATCTGGTGGCCTTAGAAGACCCTTCCCAAATTTTATAATTATGACCATGGAGCCACTTAGGACACTTAGCCAAGATGATGTCTCTATCAGAACAGTGACTGAGCACTTGGGTTCGTGGACAAAGAATGGACTTTGGGGCCCAGTAGACTCCATTCATTAGCCATATGACCTTGTACATAAACTCAGAGCCTCTATTTCCTCATCTGTAGAATGGGAGATGTATCCCTACCTTATAGGTTATTGTGAGGGTAAAAGAGCACAGTGTTTCATGAATGGGGCTTCAGGAAGGGCTATTATTACCATTATTCTAAATAAGAGAGACTATCTCCCCTAAACACCCGCCCTGGCATGTGGATGCCCTCGAGAGGCACATAGCACACTCTCAATGGGATGAGCTAATTCCAGCTTCATCCAAGAAGCCAACTCGCACTTCTTTGGGTTAAGCTCAGATCAGGTGCAAAGTAGGATCTCCCAACCAGCCAAGAAACTGGCCCTCGGGCCTCTATCAGCACAGGAGTCACACTGAGTGTCGTCATCCTCCCAAAAATCCCTGAATAAGAGAAGAGCCTTGCAGAGCTGTGTCCAGCACATTCTAGCCAGCCTTTGCTGGGAGTTCACGCAGAGTCCTTACTACCAGCAGCCCAAGCCGTGATGAAAATCCTCAATGGCACCTTCCCAGGACCCTGAGTCAGCTGTGCCATCTGATTTCAAAAGACGCAGTGCAGAACCATGAGTGTGTTGCTCACAGCCGTAGTCCCAGCTCCTGGAGCCAAGTCAGTCCTACTACAATAAACATTTGCTGACTGATTGGACAAGAGGCTACTCCCTAATAATGAATACTTATGAGACCTGTTACCGGAACCACAGGAAATGGAGAACCCCAGCCCCATGAGCTCCAGGTACTTCCTGTGCACATGAAGGCAGCATGGGGTTGCTGAGTGTGGGACAGAAGAAGGCAGGTCTGGTGACTCAACCCCTTCCCGTGGGCAAGAGAATCTGAAACTACTGCCCACATAGACATGCCTCTGCTTCCTAACACAGCTTCCTCCCACCCATCCATCCCTCCTCCCACCCCATGCTCTGCACTTACCAGACTCTCCACCTCTTCCCACTAGGTGGCCTTGGGCAAGTAACTTAACCTGCCTCCATTTTCATTTCTTCCTCTCTAAAACAAGTATTTGACTCACCTCATGGGGTATGGTGGGAATCAAGCAAATGGGCACGAAGGCACTTTACATAAGAATTTACAGAGCCTTCAATAAATTAACTAGTTCAACCCATATTTATTGACCATCTACCATGTATTATATAACTAGTAGAAATTCCCATAGAAGAAAAGACTTGCCCAAACAGAGCTACAATCTAGTAGGGGACGCGGGCAATAAGCAAATGAATAAGTAAAATATTTACTAAAACAGATTGTGCCACGGCGAACAGGTTCAGCCTGAGAAAGTCCAGACATGCAATTTTAAATAGGGTATTCAGGGAATGCTTCCCTGAAGAGGTGACATTGGAGCATAGACCTGAAGGAGGTGATAGCATTTGCGCTATCGTTATAATGATTAAGTCAGAACTTCTGGGTGATGCGGCCCAGGAATCCATATTTATAACAAGAACCTCAGGCCATTTGAAAAATACTGGAGACAAAGGGTCTCCCACAGTAGCATGTGAGAGGAGATCTGATTGGAAGACCCGGCCAGCTCCTGACAGTCTCAGATTGCAGTCTTGCCTTGAACCTCATCTGGCATGGGTGACTGGCCTCTACCCACATCTCCCTTCTAGCATCCAAAGCCTCCCTTGACCTTGAGCTGCCTCCTCCCCTAGCCACACTAATGACTTCTTAGGTCTCACCTGCTGGCAGGTCCCACAAAGACTATCTCACCTGATAGTTGTGATCTGACCCAGGTTGAGCTCGTAGTTGTTGACTTGGGCAATGAAGATGGCTGCCAGGGCCTCGTAGAGGGCAGTGCCGTCCATGTTGACAGTGGCCCCCACGGGCAGCACGAACCTGGTGATGCGGCGGTCCACACCCAGGCCCTCCTCCAGGCAGCGGAAGGTAATGGGCAGTGTCGCAGAGCTGGGAGAGAGAGCCCCAGGGGCTGAGAGCAGGGGATGGCGGTGCGGGGCTGGAGCAGCAATAGGCCAAAGGAGGGTTCCCCTTGAGAACATTGGAAGGCCAGGTGGAAGCCAGAGCCAGGGGCAGATGGCAGGGGTCTAACATTTCAGAGGCTGATAACTGCATGCGGAAGAGGGACTCCTCACAACACAGGGAGCTCACAGCAATGGTGTCCTCCAGGCTAAAGGTTCCTTGTCCCAGTTAAAGCCAATAGCTGAAGGATAATTACTACACTAGTTCATGCCACTAGTTCACTCTATCTATCCACCCCAAGAAAGGGAGGACTAAAGGTATTCTGGCTGTCCTCCTCTCAGGGCTAAGACAGGGGGATTATAGAGGACCACCGTCCCTCACTCCCCGTGTTTGGTCAGGGAGTGACCTCAGCTACACTAATCCTCTCGGTCTCTCTCCCTACCACTCCCTAGAGGAGGAAGAGTGATTGGTGAGTTTTGTCCAAAGAGTGGGCATCTCATTAGGGAATCAGCCTGCCCACAAAACATGTGCCCCGTCTGGTCAGCTGTATGTCATGCAGGGGAAAACCTGAACACGGAGAGGGCCTTTGGGTGTCCAGCCCCACTCAAGTCCCCCCAAAAAATTACTCTCTTCAGAACTCTTTCCCTAGACATTGCCCAGACAAGCCCTAGCTCTGGCCCAGGTGAGTTCAATTCTGGGGTACAGTGGCATCAGTCCTACTTGGCCACAGATCAAAAGGCACATTCACCGATCAGCATTATGGGCAATAAAAAAAAAAGATACTTTTCTTCCATCTGGTTGGTGTTTGTGATATATCTCAAATTATTTTGAATTTGGATGAGGGAAAGGGTAGCTCTTTATTAACCACCTGAAACCCCCCAAAAAGGAGAAGGAAGTCAAGAGAGCTTCCAGGCACCATCTCAAAGAGAGTGAGACTCTCTGAGCTAGAAAATGACTGGGAACATGGGGCATGGTGGAGCCCTCATCCTAACCCCAAAAGTGGCAGCTGGCCCTAGCTGGTTTGGTTCAGTGGATAGAGCATCCCGGGTTCGATTCCAGTCAAGGGCACATGCTGGGGTTGCAGGCTTAATCCCCACTAGGGGGCGTGCAGGAGGCAGCCAATCAATGATTCTCTTCTCATCGTTGATGTTTCTATTTCTCTCTCCCTCTCCTTTCTTCTCTGAAATCAATAAAAATATTTGTTTAAGTGGAAGCTGGTTCTCCTCCACATAAAATAGAGACACAGGAAAGGAGAAAAGGGGTCAGGAGAGACAGCCCAGGACAAAAACAGTGCCCAGATAAGCCACCTTCAAGAACCCTTGACATTACTGAACAACTCAGAAGATGTTCTGCAGCAGGGGGAGGGCAGGTACCCCAGAAGAGCCCATGGAAGACAAATAAACCTAGGAAGTGTACCAGTGTTGGGAGACAAGGTCATACCTGGAAGACGTGCCCATGGCAGTGATAAGGGCCTGCAGCATGCCCCCGATGAAGGGGAAGGGGTTCCGATGGGTGATGAGGAAGTAGATGAGAGGCAGGACACCACCGGCATGGAGAAACAAGCCCACAATTACAGTCAGGGTGTACATGCCCAGCTGACCCCCCAGAACGGCCATGTCTTCCATCTCTAGGATCTTCCCAGCAATCAGGAACAGGATGCCCACAGGTGCGTACCTGGGCCAAACCAGACACCAGTCAGGGCTCCCTCATGACTTCCACTACAAGCCCAGAGCTGGCATCCCAAGGCTTTGCCCTTATAAGACCCTAGAGCAAGACAGTGCCCAGCATTCAGCACTCAACACCACCCACAAACATGTCCTACCTGCTCTTCCTGCTCACCTACAGGTCAACCCCAGACAGCAGAAAAGTTCCTATGACTCCATGGCATGCAATCTTATAAGGTCTCTCCTTCATCCACACCCCCATCCAAGTCCCCCTCCCCAAAATTACTCTCTTCAGGACTCTTTCTCGAAACATTGCCCAGACAGTCCCTAGCTCTGGCCCTCTAACTTCCCTATTCACTGCCCCCAACTCTTTGTTCTACACCTCTCACTTCCATGCCCCTATTCTCTTGCCTATAAGTGCATATTCTCACTCATTCACCAGCCCTGCGCTATTTCACCTGGATTTCCCACAGACATTTCAAATAACCTATCTTATCAAATCATCTGTTTATTCATTCATTCCATAAATATATATTGAGCACCTACTATGTTGCAGTCACATAGTCCCTGACCTCATGGTGCTCACATTCAAATGAGGAAATTATGCAGTGCACATAGAAACATGTACTTAAAAGAACTTCAGGTGGTGATAACTGCAAAAGATAGTCATTGACTGGGGCTGCTTAAATGTGAGAGGTCAGAAAGAGCTTCTCTGAAGAGGTGGCATTTAAGCTGAGGCCTGAATCATGAGAAGGAACCATGTATCTCTGAGGGGGAAGCATTGCAGGCATAGTGCAAAGACCCTGAGATGAGCATGAGCTGGGAGTATTGGAGGAGCAGAAAGAAGACCAATTGGCTGGGACAGTGAGTGAAAAGGAGAGTAGAGGAGACAGAAGTGAGTTCTTCAATGGCTCACCTATTTTCCCCACACACTAACCCATTGCTTAGTCTTGTGAGTGTCTGCCAGTGATGCCATCACTCACCCATCACTGGGCTTCAACTGTTATTCCTCTCTCTTTAGAAATTGAAGTCTATGGTTGGCCATTGTCATGGTGGATGTATTGGAGGAAGTGAGGGACTCTCGGGAATTTGGTTCAATAACTTGGGTCAGAAATCATGAAACCGAAGCTAAGTCATGAGAATGAGGATGCAGGGTCTTCTCCAGACAAACTCAAGCTGGTCTCAGAGTTAGCCCTGGTCAGTGGTTGTTGATTTATCTCCAAGTCTACACCTATCTCTATGATTACTCTGCAAACTCCTTTCCCAACTCTCTCACCTCCATCCTTCCATCTCATCCTCTGCAAAATTCCTAACTCTGAATCAATTGCATATCACTTCTCTCTTCCTGTACTCAGCCACCCGGCACATATGGATATTTCCCCCAACCATGCCAAGGACACCACTATAAACTCATGGTTCTCAATTCAGTTGAGCCTTCAATACCCGTCAATCTTCTTGCTTATCCTTGATAAACTCCCCCTCTGTTCCCCCTCAGCTGCTTTTCCAAGTTCTTAAATTGGCCTCTAACCCGCTACACAACTTTAAAATCATTTGGGGTGATATACTAAGTCTTTCTTGATTTGGAACCAGAGAGCCTTGTTAACATCTTTCACCACAACTCCCAAGTTGCTGTATGCTCCTGCCTTCCTGAACTCCTCACCATGCTCCAAGCAACTCAGGTTTTTTCAGCTTTGCATGGTCTCTTCCCTCTGCTTGAAGTACCTCTCCCCTCTTTCTGTCCTGTTGGATTCCTACTCACCTCCCAAGGCCCATGGCATGCAATCTTATAAGGTCTCCTTCTAATAGGTAACTTCTTCATTACTCCCTCCTCACCTTCCCAGAAAGAGTTCACTGCATATTCCTCCATTGGCTCCCTTCTCCATGTTCACATTTTTTAACGTCTCATTACTATAGAACCTTCCACCTTGTATTATATTGATCTAGTATGTGTCTGTCTCTCCCAAGACTTTGTAAGCTCCTTGAGGACAAAGACTAATGCATCTTTGTTCCAGAATTCGAGACAAAGTCAGCCTGGGAAATGTCTGCTAAATAAGAGAAGAAATTGGTGAAGGTGTGAAGGGATTTAAAGAATAAATGAATACATGCATCAATTAAGGAATAATTAGTGAGTGGATAAATGCGTAAAAAATGAGTAAATGAGACATGAATGAGAGGGAGAGTGAACAAATGAGTGTGTTAAGTAAATGGATGAATGAGTGCAGGAAATATCTGAGAGAGTGAATAAATGCAGAGATGAATAAGTGGGTCCAAATGAATAAATGACTGAATAAGTAAGTAAATTAATTAATTATGAATGAGTTCATGAATGAATTTATGAATGAATGAATGTATGAATGATTGAATTAACCAATGCACAGATGAATACAGAAGTAAATGAGTGAATAAATCATTGCAGAAAAGAGTGAATAAATAAGTGATCAAATGAGTAAATGAGAGAGTGAATTAACCAATACATATATAAATGACTTTGGCCAAATGGTCCTGATGACCCTATCAGCAGCTGCCCAACTGACTGACTTCCCATCCCTGGCTCCATCCTTCCCTGTGCCATCACCACTCACCCTATCACAGTCCAGCACTCACCAGATAATGATGCCCACCAGCCTCATAATAGCCTCATTGAGGCTGTCGAAGAAGTCCCGCAGGACTCGGCCCTTGTGTTTCATGCCACCAATGACCAGCCCAAAGGCCACAGAGAAGACCACAAGGCCCAGGGCATTGATGCCATTGGCTGAGCCAGGCACAGGCACAATCTCCTCAAAGGTCAGCACCTCCTGCAGGGTGCCCAAGGCTCGTGTGACATTTTCCAGGAGGCTGGTTCCATTCTCCATTGAAGATGGAGGAGGCATGGAGGCGCTCTGCTCAGATCCATTCTCTGTCCTCACAACGGTCCTGGTTACCAACCTCGTGCTGTACTGCGTCTTGAACTGAAATACGGAGAGATTTGGGGCCAAATTTGACTCAATGGATGCAACAGAATCACCTGAAGAAATGTCTTTCAAATACCAATTCCTGATTCCCACAGCCTGGAGAGTCTTATTCAATAGATCTGATGAATCAATGAATGATTTGACCAATGCATAGAAGAATGAGTGAATGAGTAGAATGAGAGAGTGAATGACCAGATCATCAAAGAATGAGTAGAGTCTGCATTTTTCACAAGCTCCCTGGGCAATGCTCGGATTTGGGGGCCTGTCTCCAGTCAAAAGTCTTGGTTCCTCCTCTAGTACCAACCCCAGGAAGCCCTTGGCCTATATCCTTCTCTCTAACCCTCCCTTGAACATCATGCCAATGGCCATTGCTCTGTCAGGCCCGTCTTCCCACCCCTGATCCCTGGTCCGTTCGCTCAGCAGCAAGTCCCCACCACCCTCCAACCCTCCTTGATCAAACTGTACTTTTCCCTGACCTGTTTGAAGCAGGCCTCCACCAGGTTGGGCGGAAACATATTTCTGCAGAAAAACATCAGATGAAGGGAAGAGATTAGCTGTTAGAAAGGCATCTAGGATGATAATAGTAATAATATTAGCAAAGGCAACAGTAATAATGGCAGCCAACATTTGAACACTGATTCTAGTCCAGCGGTTCTCAACCTGTGGGTTGCGACCCCTTTGGGGGTCGAATGACCCTTTCACGGGGGTCGCCTAAGACCATCCTGCATATCAGATATTTACATTATGATTCATAACAGTAGCAAAATTACAGTTATAAAGTAGCAAAGAAAATAATTTTATGGTTGGGGGTCACAACATGAGGAACTGTATTTAAAGGGCCAGAAGGTTGAGAACCACTGCCTAGTCCAAGCTAAGTAAGCTAAGTGCCTTACCTATATGTTCTGATTTAAACACGACAATATCCCTAAAAGCAAGTGCTATTGATGTCCCCATTTTACATACACACACACACACACACACAGAACAAAATATTTGATGTAAGTTACCCAAAGCTACATAGCTGCTAAGGCAAACAGATGGACCTCAAATCCACCTCAGGTCTGTCTAAATCTTATAGTAGGACCCTATTCATATACAGGGACTTTAATTCATATACATGTGCCAGTGATGCCTCAAAAAAGAATAAAATAAACCATCCAGCTCCTGCACTCCTCCACCTCCCCCCAAGTCAGGGGCTAGGGTAGAACTATGGCTAGCCTTAACTGGGCTGGCAAAATCTTGCTGTTCTAAGAGAATCATTCACCCTCCAACAGATCCTGGGAACAGCAAACATCGTCTGTCCTGAGCCTATCCCAAGATATAGCTTCCCTAAGCTAAGGGTCAAAATATCCTATCCTAGGAGTCAGCTGCTCTCAGAGAATTTGTGCAAAGCTCCAAGCCAGAATATGGACATCAATAAAACTAGGCCCAACTTGGATGTTGCACTTTCAGGCTGGGTCAGCCTGTCCCCTTTGTCTCTCCTTGAGTAGACATTGATGCACATAGGGCCAGAATTCCCATCGAAATTAGAAAGGACATCACCTGACCAGGTCCATGAAGGCATCAGCTGTAGGGATGGTCTCAATCCGGCCCTCACGGTGCAGCCCCTCCTTGGAGCCCTTCCCAGGATGGATGATGGTGACCATGAGAATGCCGATGAAGACCGCAATGACCGTAGTCACCATGTAGTACACAGCTGCCCGCATCCCCATCCGCCCTGTTGCCTTGTTATCCAGGGATGCCATACCTGGAGGACAGGTGGTACAGACGCAAGCATCTCCATTCACACCCCACCACCCACTCTCCCATCCAGCCACTCCTCTCTCCCCATACCACCAGCTTGACCATTCCACCAAGCATCCCGTCCTCTTACACCCACCCAGCACCCACACCATCATTTTTGACCCATATCATCATTCTTCAACCCCCATTCTACTTTCCATATACATCTTCCTCCCCATCCTTTACCCAAGCACCACTTAACCAAGCTTCCCTCTACTCCAAGCTAACCTTTTCAACCCCATCCCATCCGCCACTTACCCCTATTGTGTACTATAACCTCACTTTTGTTCCACTCTCCATCCCACAGTGACACCTCCCTGCAACCCAGCTCACTGTACACTATCTGTAGTAGATGCTTTGGTGCCCTACCTAGACACCCTTTACCAGGCTGATACCCCTATCCTTCAGCTGCTGAGTGTGTGGGCTGCTAACAGTTCATGCTGCCCCCTTCCCCTGAGAATTGTGCTCAGAAAGGCCCCAAGGCAGACCTACAGTCAGTGTCTGGTACAAGGATTCAAAAATCCAGCTCTTTTGACTCCAATGGGACCAGAGTTAGGAGGAACAATTCTGTGGTGTGGCTCGTGCTCCAGAGCTCCCTCCAGAGGCCAGTCTTCTGGAACATCTCGGCTTAGTTTCTTTCCTCCACCTCAACCTCTTCCCTCACTTCCTCATAGGTTTCTTTGAGAGCAGTCCTGAATAAATTACTTGCGCAAATATCTCATGCTCTACTTCCAGGAAACCCAACCCAAGAAGGCATTTGTCATGCCTTTGTCTTCATGCCTATCACAAATTCTAGAGATTGGCAATCAACCACCCAAGGGCCAAATTTGGCCCACTCCCTGTTTTTGTAAATAAAGGTTTACTGGAACACAACCACACCCATTTATACACATATTAATCTGCATCTGTTTTAGTGCTACAATGGCAAAATTGAGTAGTCATGAAGGAGAGCATATGGCCCCTAAGGTAGGAATATTTACTATTTGGTCCTTTACAGAAAAAATGTACTGACCCCTGCATAGTCTATCCCACCCTCACCCACCATCCTGTCACCTCTACCTCAAACACCTGATCCATGTCACACTCCCTGACCATCCATGCCATATTCCCCCTACCTTCCCTGGCTGTCCCACCACAGCCTTCCTTTCACCTCTGCATGATACTAAGTTCCTGGCATGCTGGTATTTTTATTTCCAGTGAAAAGTATGGAAAAGTTACTGAGATAAGTGGGATAGGTAAGATGGGGTCCAGAACCTGGGTCTGATCAGGATCTGGGCTTTGGCCAAGGACTCTGGGCTAGGTGAACACTCCATGTTTGAGGTCCTAAATTAGGGAGGTGGTCCCATGCTTGGGACCACTTTGGCTCCAGGTTTAAGCTTGGGCTTCGGGGTGGGTCTTGGAGGCCAGCACTGGCCTGGGCTCTCTCACCTGTGACCAGGCTGGAGACAATGAGCGGCAGCACCAGCATTTGCAACATCCTCATGAGAAGCTCTCCAGGGAAAGAAAAGTACTTGATCTGGCGGTAGGTGAGCTGGTACGGGCGTAGGCCAAAGGCCAGGCTGACCCCTAGGGAGTGGAGTTTGGGTCACTCAGCCCCAAGCAGGAGCCATCCATCCCAAGAAGGGTGTGTGTGGATGGGGGTGAGAGAAAGAGAGAAACATTCTGTGTATGTGTGTGTGTACATTGTAGGAATGAATGGATTTATGTCACCATGTTGATACTGTGTTAATTTGTGTGTAAACATCTGCACACATGCACACATATGTGACAGCATACACTCATTTGTGCCTGTGTCTGTACTTGCATATGTGGACCCATGCACATGTTTTTCCCATGTGTGTATAGAGGTGTGACTTATATGTATACAGTTTTCAAACATGGAAGAGTATATGTATTTAAGCTCAAAGTGTGTGCAGAGGAATGTGTGTGTGTGTGTGTGTGTGTGTGTGTGTGTGTGAATGTGCTTGCAAGTTCCAGTATGTGTGCAACTGTGTGAGTTTACGTCTTTGCAAATGCAAGTTTAAGCTCAAGTGTGCAGAGGAATGTGTGTGTGTGTGTGTGTGTGTGTGTGTGTGTGTGTGAATGTGCTTGCAAGTTCCAGTATGTGTGCAACTGTGTGAGTTTACGTCTTTGCAAATGCAAGTTCTGTGCATGCATAAATTAATGTGTTCATCTTTGTGTATTCATATGTAGAAAGTGTGTTTGTATAGTGTGCACATGTGTGTGCACACATACATATACATATGACATTGTGTGGGCACAGAGCTGTTTTTGCATAAGTGTGCACTATCTGTGTGTGTGTTCTACACAGGAACGGTCACTGGTAGGACAAGATGTGAATGTGTGCAGGTGAGAAGGAGTTGGTGGAATGAAGAGACATGAGTGCAAGGAATTTCCCTGAAGTCTCCGCCCTCCCAACCCACTCACCTATGATCACAGCGCTGATGGTCAGCAGGATGAAGGCGTTCCTGCGCAGGAAGCGCAGCACGTGCTCGCGGGTCATGGTCTGCAGGCGCAGGCGCGTGCGCAGTGCTCTCTGCTGCATGCTGTCCTGCAGCCGCTGCAGACAGCCCATCCTGCCAAGCCGCTGGCCACTCTCCCGCAGGAACAGGCTGTTGGCGTGGCTGCTCATCGTCTATCTGCGGGGAACAGAGGGCCCTGGGCCTGGTGAGAAACAGGACAGAGTAGGATGTGGGCAGAGGGAGGGTGGCAGGGTGGAGGAAGCGGGTGAGAAACTCGAAGAGAATCCAGACAGCAGGGGAGGGACATCTGCTGGGATGTGCCCAGGCTGGGACACCTGAGGACTCTGCCTAGGGTTCAAGGGTCACGACTTGGCAGAAAAGAGTGAGGGTCTCAGAATTGCTTCCCTGCTTGTCTAGGAAGAGGCAGGGAAGGAGACCACAATATATTAGGTTCTTTTGCCACTCCCTGACTCCAGCCCTGTCCTTATTCGGTAAGATCGTCACAAGCAATTGGTGGCTGTCCCATCTAATGAGCCAATCTAACAAGGCCACCGCATGCCGAGCCCTAAACATGGTTTGGTGTCTGGCCTGGAGATGCTCACAAATGGCCTTTCAATAACAAAATCGATGACAGCAAGTGCCTGGCAAACAGTGGGTGCCCAATAAATGCAGCTGCTCTGCCGGAGTGCCTGGGTGAGCAACAGGAAGGGAGAAGAGCCTCTTGGGAAGGAAATGGTTATCATCCTTGACCCCGGTGGTCCTTTAGGATCCACCTTTGAAGGGAAATGTGATGTTCAGAATCTCACTGTTTTCCCTACGTCAGACTTTTGTGTCTGCTCTTTAAATTCGGCCATATCCATGCAATCTTATTTATGTTCTAAATAAATGTATCTCAAATGGAAACTTTAGATACATTGGGTCTTTAATCATGTTTTTTTCATCTTTATTGTTGAAAGTCTTAGGTATGTCCCCCTTTTCCCCATTGACCTCTTCTAGCCCGCGCCCGCCCCTATCCCAGCTAATTATGTTTTAATACACATTAATAAAATACATATAAAAATAAACACCTTTCTAACCTTTTACCAACTAAACACCTTACATCAAGCATGTCAAACTCCCGGCTCAGGAGTTTATTTAAATGAGGCCTGCAGCCTGTGAGACACAAGTTTGAGACGCTTGCCTTACATATACAGGGCAGCTTAGAAATTGTGACTTCCATGGGCCTGAGGAACTTTTACCTCTGTGGACTCCTTCCTCCATTAAAAAAAAATATATTAAAATTGTATTTCAGCCCTGACCGGTTTGGCTCAGTGGATAGAGCATCGGCCTGCAGACTGAAAGGTTCCAGGTTCGATTCCAGTCAAGGGCATGTACCTTGGTTGCAGGCACATCCCCAGTAGGAGGTGTGCAGGAGGCAGCTAATCGATGTTTTAGGGCAGCATAGAAATTGTGACTTCCATGGGCCTGAGGAACTTTTACCTCTGTGGACTCCTTCCTCCATTAAAAAAATATATTAAAATTGTATTTCACAACTGCATTGATATAAAGATGACTATATAATCTTGGAACTAGGTAGAGGTGATGGTTGTACATTGTGAATATACCAAATGCCACTGACTACCACTTTGAAACGGTTGGTTTTCTGTCATGTGGATTTCACCTCATATTATGTATTAAAATATTTTCTTTGACTTGAAGTTTAATTCTTTCTTCTGATTTTAAAAGAAGTGAAAAATTTCTGTGGGTTCCTAAAAGTTTCATGGACCCTGAGCACTGGGCCTCCAGTTCCTGAAGGATAGGCAGCCTAGTCTATACTGATCTTCCAGCAAAAAAAAAGTGGGTCCTGGAATTCTGTTATTCCTATAGACCAGTGATTCTCAACCCTCCTAATGCCACGACCCTTTAATATAGTTCCTCATGTTGTGGTGACCCCCAACCATAAAATTATTTTTGTTGCTGCTTCATAACTGTAATTTTGCTACTGTTATGAATCGTAATGTAAATATCTGATATGCAGGATGTATTTTCATTGTTACAAATTGAACATAATTAAAGCATAATGATTAATCACAAAAACAATATGTAATTATATATGTGTTTTCCGATGGTCTTAGGCGACCCCTGTGAAAGGGTCGTTCAACCCCCAAAGGGGTCGCGACCCACAGGTTGAGAACCGCTGCTCTAGATTCACCCCCAGGTCAAAGGGTGACCACTAGAGATGGCATTGCCCAGGCTCCCTTGCCCACTGGCTCCCCACTGGGTCAGGCCAGCGGAGGGCAACAGGAGAGTGGAGGGTGGGAGGGGATGGAACATTGGTTTTCCCCCGTTCCCCCTGCCACGCCCCTGTTTGGCAGTGGCTGTGTTCCTCGACCTAAGGCCACAGCTCCCATCAGACAATCCTCTCTGCCTACTGGCATCCAGATGTCTTCCTTGGAAAAATGTCTATACAGTTCCTCTGCCCGTTTTTTTAATTGGATTTGGGAGGTTTCTTTGGTTACTGAGTTGTATGAGTTCTTTATGTATTTTGAATCTGAACCCATTTTCCAATATATGGCTTGCAAAAAATTTTCTCCCATTCTGCAGGTTGCCTTTTTGTTTTGCTAATGCTTTCTTCTGCTGTTCAGAAGCTCTTAAGTTTGATGTAGTCCCACTTGTTGATTTGTTTTGTTTTGTTGCCTGTCCTTTTGGTGTCATATCCAAAAAGCATTGCCCAATATCAAGGAGCTTCTTTCCTCTGTTCTCTCCTAGGAATTTTATGGTTCAGGTCTTATGTGTAAGTCTTTGACCGATTTCGAGTTAATTTTGGTGAGTGGTGTGAGACAGGGGTCCGGTTTCACCATTCTGCATTTGCTTATCTTGTTTTTCCAACACCATTTGTTGAAGAGACTGTCCTTTCCCCTATGGGTGCTCTTGGACATCTTGACGCAATACAGGTTCTAACTCTCACTATAATGGCAATCATAGTATAATCTATAAATGTACCAAACAGCATGCTGTACACCTTAAATTTTCTCAATGTTACCTGTCAAATATATTTCAATTTTAAAAAATTACAGCCTCTGTTACAGCCTCCACTCTCCTTGGGTCCCTCTCCTGCTCCCTCCCTGCGAATCTCCACTCATGCTGGTCCCTGAGTGCTACCCCAGCCTTGCTGGTTTCCCTTAACCCTGCTCAGACCTTTGTAAATAGTCCTTATCTTAAACTCTTTTTCAGTGTGCTTGTCTCCTGACTGATACACCAGAAAACACTCTCCAAGCCCGGCAGGCATGGCTCAGTGCAGTGTGCTTGTCTCCTGACTGATACACCAGATTCACCTCACTGTTAGAAAACACTCTCCAAGCCCGGCAGGCATGGCTCAGTGGCTGAGCATCAACCTATGAACCAGGAGGTCACGGTTTGATTCCTCGGTAGGGCATATGCCTGGATTGTGGGCTCGATCCCCAGTGTGGGGTGTGCAGGAGGCAGCCGATCGATGATTCTCTCTCATCATTGATGTTTCTATCTCTCCCTCCCCCTTCCTCTCTGAAATCAATAAAATCTATTTTTTTAAAAAACAACTCTCTAAGCCAGCGGTTCTCAACCTGTGGGTCGCGACGCCTTTGGGGTCGAACGACCCTTTCACAGGGGTCGCCTAAGACCATTGGAAAACACATATATAATTACATATTGTTTTGTGATTAATCACTATGCTTTAATTATGTTCAATTTGTAACAATGAAATTGGGGGTCACCACAACATGAGGAACTATATTAAAGGGTCGCGGCATTAGGAAGGTTGAGAACCACTGCTCTAAGCCAAAGGAAGGCAGCAAACTGCGGAACTCTGTGCCTATTTGGTTTGCCTGGGATTGCTGCACCGGTAAGAACTTGGTCTCACCCAGCTAGTCTCTGAGGGATCAGAGCTTTAGATGTGTCTCCTCACCCCACCCCCACTGCCTGAATTCATCCAGGTCGGAGCTGAGAGTCTGTAGAAAGTCTCAGGTCTACCAGCAGGTAGGCCTCTGGACTCTTTGGTTTTTTCCTGCCATTGACTGAGCAGCTACTTTTCTGAGCTCACTGTCTTCCTTGGCCTCCTTTGCTTCCCCCTACATCTGATGGATGGGTCATCTCTTTCCAGGTCTCAGTTCCAGGTCCCGAATGCCAAACCCCTGTGGGTTCCTGCTCCAAATGGATCCACTGATGCTGCTTCTCACTTTGCTGTGAAAGATCCCAGACATGGGATCACACACAACACAGGAAACTCGTAATTTCTCCCTCTCCTCTAGGATGTATGTTTCCAGTCTTTGAGCAGTGGCAGCTCCAAGCTGCCCAAGGGTCCCAAGGGACTGTTCAGCTGAGATCTAAACTAGTCACAACAACTCCAGAGCTAGTTTTGTCTCTTTCTTTTCTCTTCTTTCCAAAAAAATAGTATGGCATAGAGCAGGCATGGGCAAACCCATAGTCTGAGGGCCAAATCCAGCCCCCTGCTTGTTGTTGTAAATCAAGTTTTATTGGAACACACCCAGACTCATTCCTTATGTATTGTCTATGTGCTATAATGTCTGAGGTGAGTTACTGGGACGGAGATTATATGGGCTACAAAACAGTCAGTCTCTCTGGCCCGTTAATAAAAAACTTTGCTCAACCCTGGCCTATTAGAAGAGCATCCCTGAGCCCTTATTTCAAACCCGGCTCCGCCTTGCAGGAACCGGTGTCTTTCTATGTGGTTTAGATGGCCCAGTTCAGGTGGTGCTTAGAACAGCGCCTGGCGAGCATGAAATAGATGCCAACTGTGGTTCAGATAAAGCAGAGACCCAACAGACTCGTGACTGAGGACAGAGAAAAACGCTGAAGCAAGAGAATGTCTTCCTCTCCGTTTCTCTCAGTCCTGTCTGCGTCACTTGTCAGGCAATACTCGACTTGAAACGGTTTTCCCAGGACCTTGGCTTCCGCTTGGGCCTTTCTCAGTGTCTCTTGGACGCCTGGGGGCTTCTCCGCTCAACCTGACTTCTCTCTTTTCTAGTCTCTCCTGGTCCCTGTTTCTTAGGCTTCCTGCTCGGGAAATGGTCCTTCTAGTGCCCCCATGTCCTTGCAGAGATTCAAGGATCCATCTCCCCACTGGTTCCCCCAACCTCCAGGCTCCGATGAGATGTGCTCGTGGCCCTCGGAGCCGAGGGGAAAAAGGAAAGTCTCTTATGTTCTAAAGCTGAAACAAACTACGGTAGACAAAGCAAGGTGGCTTTCC